GGAGGGGACCAAGCGTGGGGCCGGCGGCCATGTGCCACCCCACAGAGCCCCAAAACCATCTTCAGGCTGCCCCTGATTGCACAAAACCATCCCTAAGAAAGGAACAAGTCTTGCCAGTGGGCGAGGGCAGATCCCAAAACCTTCTCCATCCCCCAAGGCAGCAAAGTGGGCATTTCCCAGTGCCCGGCATCCCCCTGAGCTGCGGAAGCACTGCTGGTGCTGGTCACCAGGGCAGAGAGTATGCGACATGTCCTGCTGCAGCCCAAATCCACAGCCTACCCCGTCCCAAATTCCAGGAGGCACTACCAGCCTCCCTGGGTAGCAGCCCTGGGACCTCCAGACCCTAGGGCTGCTCTGCTCCACCACCTGAGACCCACTCGAGGTCAACGTACTGACAGGGGTACCACCCGCACGCTTCCAGTGAGGACGGAGGTGGCTTGGTGCCACACTTGGCGTTCCCCCCAGCCCAGGAGCTGGCAGCCGAAACCTGGCACCCGCCACGGCCAGGAGGACCACCCTGCAGCGTTGGAGCAGGGTGGGAGATGCCCTTACCTGAGGAGCTTGTAGTAGAGGAAGCGGAAGGCCTCCTGCAGCAGCACAGAGAACATCACCCCAAATATCAAGAGCCCCTTCTGCAAGGGCTCATCCCGGGGGTCGCTGGCTTTAACCGCAATAAACCAGATGAGGGAGGAGAGCAGCAGCGACACCAGCCAGAAGAAAGCCCTGCAAGAGACAGAGAGCGCCCGCTGGCACCGGTGCTGGGCCGGGACCGGTGCCAGCGCCGAGCCCCACGGGCACCATCGGCACTACGCCCGAGTTGGTACCAGCACGGGCAGCTGTGCCCCGGCCTTGCCCACTCTCCTACCAGTACCAGCACCGTTCCGGTACCAGTGCTGGGCTGTGCCGGTACTGGCACCGCTGCTGTGCCAGCGCTCCTCCTCCGCTGGTAGCCAGAACGGGGACTGGTGCCCCCACTGCACTGGTACCAGCGCCAGGCTCATGTCCACACCAGTACCAGTTCCAGTACCACACCCCACTGATCCCACAGTGGTACTGGTAGCAGGGCCCCAGCCGCACGCATGCACCAGTACCGCTACCAGCCCTGCACTGGTACCAGTACTCCACCAATGCTGTCACCGATACCAGTGTCCTCCCCATCATGCCCATGCCACGCGGTGACCACAGTGGCACCAGTACCGTACTGGTGCTCCTGTCCTGCCCACAAGGGTACCAGTACACGTACCAGAGCTCCTGCTGTGCCGGCAATGGTACCAGTACAAGTATGGATACTGGTGCCCCTGTCACACTCACAAGGGTACGAGTACCAGTACTGGTGCTCCTGTCAAGACCATGACCACCAGTATGAGCACTGGTGTCCCAAACGTGCCCATGATGGTACCAGTAAGGGAAACAATACCATTGCCCGTGTCATGCAAGCAACATCAGTATGAGTACTGGTACTGGTCCTCCTGTCGTAACCACAACGGCACCAGGACTGGTTCCCCCATTGTGCCTCTGCCAGTACCAGCCACATCCTTGTCACACCCATACTGGTACCAGCGCCCCTGTCACGCCAATACTGGTACCGATACCAAAACTGGTACCAGCACCCCTGTCACACCCATACTGGTACCAGTACCAGCACTGATACCAGCACCCCATCATGCCCATACTGGTACCAGTACCGAAACGGGTACCAGCACCCCCATCACACCCATACTGGTACCAGTACCGAAACGGGTACCAGCACCCCCGGCACACCCATACTGGTACCAGTACCAAAACTGGTACCAGTACCCCTGGCACACCCATACTGGTACCAGTACCGAAACTGGTAACAGTACCCCCAGCACACCCATACTGGTACCAGTACCAAAACAGGTACCAGCACCCTCATCACACCCATACTGGTACCAGTACCGAAACGGGTACCAGCACCCCCGTCACACCCATATTGGTACCAGTACCGAAACTGGTACCAGTACCCCCAGCACACCCATACTGGTACCAGTACCAAAACAGGTACTAGCACCCCCGTTACACCCATACTGGTACCAGTACCAAAACTGATACCAGCACCGAAATGGGTACCAGCACCCTTGTCACACCCATACTGGTACTAGTACCAGCACCGGTACCAACACCCCTGTCACACCCGTACCGGTACCGGTACCAGCATCTCATCCTGCCCATACTACTACCAGCACTGGTACCAGCGCCTCATCATGCCCATACCGGTACCGGCACCACACCCCCCTCACACCTATACCAGTATCGGTACCGACACTGGTACCAGTGCCCCGTCATGCCCAGTACCGGTACCACGCCCCATCACGCCCATACCGGCACCGGTACCACGCCCCGTCACGCCCATACTGGTACCAGTACCGGTACCACGCCCCGTCACGCCCATACTGGTACCAGTACCGGTACCGGTACCGGTACCACGCCCCGTCACGCCCATACCGATACCAGCACCAACGCTGGTGCCACACCAGTACCGATACCGGCACCAGTACCCCCTCCGCGCCCACACCACTACCCCCGGTGGCACCAGCACCCCTCCCGGTGCCGGTGCCGGTGCGGGACTGACCCGGCGATGAGGATGATGATGCGGAGCGGGTCGCGGGCGATGGTGAAGAGGAAGAGGCCGAAGGCTGGCCCGAAGGCGATAAAGGTGCACCCGAAGAAGACGGCGAGCGTCATGGCGGCGGGACGCGGGACCGGGACGGGACCCGGAGGCTCGGACCG